TGCGTGGGCCTCTGCTGGCGTTCGGAGCCCGCGCCTCTCCGAGCTGGTCGAGCTCGCCGTTGGCGACGGTGCTCCTCGAGGGGATTGGAATGCATCATTATTCGCTGACAGTGAAACTTCCGCGACCGACGTGATCGCGGGCAGCGTGCACGCGCGCGCTGCCGCGCGACGAATGCGGCGCGCCCACAATCAACTCTACCTCGCGCCCACCAAGTGATCGATGCAGCAGTGCTCGCTCTTGCCAAGTCACGCCTGCCTGCTACCTCCACTTGGGTGCTGCTGAGCACCCGCGCCCATGCTGAAAATCGGCCCTGATCTGAATCCGCGTTCGCAGTCTGCCTGCGCATCCCGCTGAATTCGCGAGGGTGCCGAGCACATCCAGGGGGCGTCTCGGAGGGCGGCCCCTTGGCTTCCCATTTTCTTCGGCGCGGCGGGGCACTCCTGCGCCCTCGCGGCCGCGGGCGCCGGCGGATTGCGCGCGGTGCCGGCTCCCCCCATCGCCGTGGGGCGACTGATGTGGCGCGCAAAACCTGCTGCAACCAATGCGTGATCAATCACCCTTCCCGCGGGGCTCTGCCTGCGCGCTCTTGCCCGGCACGCCGACGGCAATCCGCCGATGTTCTGCAACCGCTCAATATATCAAAGCTCATCATTGTATGCGTTGAGTCCGCGGGCCCCATCGTCATGGCGCGTTCGATCGGGCACGCAAGATAACGGTATTGCGAAAAGTCAAGCCTTCATTTGCATGCAAGCGAACGGAATGAACAATGGCCCCACGACGCCTTCGCAGCCGTCCACCTGGGCGCGACCTATAGGCCGTTGTCCGTCTTCGGGGCCGCTGCGGTCGTCGCGCGCCACTTCGCAATGGCCGCGACGCCTGCTGAATTGCGGCCTGCTTCAGTGCGTCGAGCTGGTGACTGCGCCCCCTGCCGCCCAAATTGGATGGCCTTCGCAGGGGCATATGTAAGTTCATCGCGAAACGCGATGCTCCTGCGCCGTCATCACTTGCGCCTTGGGCCAAGGCAACAAGCCAGCAGCAGGCGCGGAGAGGTGCCGTCGAAAGTCTCGACCGTGGGTGCCCCCATCAATATCGTCGCATGAGCTGCCCAAAATAACGTGTCACGGATGGAAAAAAAAACGCACCCTTGCTGCTTCGCCTTCTGTTTCTGAGCAAACGGATCCATGCTGCCCGCCGCAGGTTTCGTCGCCGCCCGAATCGCATCCTCGCCATCGGGCCCCCGCGCCCCCGTCGCCTCGAGCAGGCGCCCGAGGTCCTCGGGGCCCCCCTGGCCAGCGAAACCGAAGGGGGGCGCGGGTCGCCGGCTGCCGCGGCGGGCTCGGCAGCAGGCTTGGGCGCCCGCTTCTTGGCCGTCCGCGACGTGCCCACGCGCCCCTTGAGCTCGCCGCCCAAGACGGCGGCGTCGGACTCGGCCATGCCCCTGACCTTGAGCAGCAGGCCCAGCTCCTCCGCCGAGGTCTCCGCGGCCCCAATTGAAACGCCGAGCTCGCGAACCGTTGGGGGGCGAGGTTGCGCGGCCAGCGCCTGCCTGTGCTCGCGGTACTTCTCCGCGATTTCTGCGTGGGCCCCCGCGGGCTCCGCTCGACCGCGGCCGCGCGCTTTTTTGCTTCGCTCGGCTTAGCTTTGGCTGGATCGGGCGCGCCCGCGGGGCGAGTGCGCTTCTCCTCGAGCCGCTCTTTCTGAGCGACTACGTCGCGCGCCCTCTCGACGGACTGCGCAGCGAGAGTCTTGGATTTGCGCGCGTCGCGGCAGATCCAATTCCGTCGCGGCAAATCCAATTCCTGCTCCTTGCCGAACTCTGACGCCGGCGCCTTGGTCGTCGTCTTGAGCGTAGCCCCAGCCAGCGGAAGCGCTTCTTTCCACTGGGGATCGCGTTCCTTCGCATCCGCCCCTTCCTCGTCGACGCCCGCGCGGCGGCCGCCGTCGCGTTCTGGCTGCGCCGCCGACTTCGACTGGAGATGCGCCGTTGGTTTCTCCAGCTGCGACGCGCGGACGGACTGCGAGTTGGCCCCCTTGAAACTGGCTCTGGGGGCGTTGACTTGGCCGTCTGGCAGAGCGGAAGGTGACGTCCTCGCCTCGCCCTCGCCGGCCGCGTGATCTGGCCGTTGCGGCGTTCCGCCGGTGATCCCCAGCCACGCTCGAGCACCTCGCGCAGCGCCTTTGCGATGCCCGAGCCACGCGACGCTGCCGAGGGGGGGGGGGCAGCGCGCCGAGACCCCCGAGGCGGTCGTCGCGCCCAACTCCGCTCGCCGAACGAAAGGCCGCGGGCGGCGGCCGGAGCAAACCGGTCGCCGCAAGGGGGGTGGGCGCTGACCGCGGACCAGCGGCGCCCGCTCTGTTCGCGAGGTGACCTTCGATTTTGAGCCGAAGTGGCTAATTACTGACCCCTGCCGCGTTGCAGCTGGGGGTTGGCGAGACCGCCCAGAAGGGGGCAGCTGAGGGCGAGGACTGGGCCGAACTATTCCTGGACGCCCCGACCGTGTAATTGGAGCAGAATGAGCTGAATGGGAGCAATGCGTGGGTTGCCTGAGCCCCAGCACGCACGACAAGTGCACCATCCTGTCGGAACCTGCCACTAAGGTAATGAATCACTTCCTTCGCCTGCCTCTTATGCGAGCGCACTGGGGCCCAACCGCCACCGTCCGTCAACGTCAAGTAGCCGCATCCGTCGCGAATGTCGATCTAGGCCCCGTCCAACGAGAACCCGGCGTTAACTGCAGGTACCAAAGCACCTTGGCGGCCACGTCGCTGTCCTTGAACGCCGCCGCCTCCGTGGTGAGGCGAAGCACTTCCTCCTGTGGCATCTCGGGCAGCCCGACGGCAGGAAACAGCGACGCCTCGCCGGTATGAGGTATGAGCCTCGGGTGTTTCCACCAGCGGCTGCGCGGCCGAAGCGCGGGCCTGTGGCTAAATCGTGGCGCCGCATGCGCAGCGCACGCCAGCCTCGCGGCAGGCAGCCGCCGACCCAAACGGCGAAACCTCGACGCGCATACCGCGCCACGTCCCACCCGAGGGTCCGCAGCCGCCCAAGACAGTTCTGTTGAGGACGCGCCCAGAAACCCGCCAGACGGCAATCGGCGTGCATGCCGGGCATCGTTCCGCCTGATAGGAAGCGCGCCATGAACACGGTCCTGTGCTGCCAGCCTCTGGTTTGTCGGCCTCGACGCACGCTCGCGGTCCACACACGAACCCAGGGTGCCGCGCGCTGCCGCCAGCGGCCGCAGCGCTGCCTCCAAAGCAGCACGGCCGCGTCGCCGAGCAGCGCGTTTCGCCGCAGAGGCGCCGAGGGGTACCTCCTCGAACCCCCATCGAACACAGGGCCGCCACACAAACCCCGTAATCACCTTCCAGTGGAACCTTCCAGCGCGACCGGCGGCGCATGCCAAACCACAATTCGAGCCAGGGGGCCGTCCGTAGGACGTCTTGAGCCAACATGGCAACGGCTGGCCGGCGGACAAGAAACATGAGCGGCAGAATATGAGGATGAGGATGAGGTTTTCTGGCGACCACAGAGCCCGCGAGTGCCTCGCGTCGGCCTGCGTGCCAGCGCAACCTGGCATAAAACGATCCAGCCCAAGACAACCTGACGTCAGATAACGACGGACCACCGCCGCCCCACGCCACCAGCCACTCAGGTCGGGGACGCTGGAACCCAGCTCGACCACCGTGCGGGGCACACGGTGCGAAGAGGAGAAGGAGGAGGAGAAGGAGGAGTAGGAGGAGGAGGACATAGAGGAGCAGGAGCAGAAGAGAAGGACTGGCACGTGATGTCAGGGGAAGCAAGAATAATTGCGCGAGGGTTGGAGCGCGGGGGATTTCCGCGGAATCCCAGGAAGTGAGGAGTACACGAAAAGGTGAAGGCGCTCAGGGGGCATATCCAAGGAGGAAGAGGGGGGAGGAAGAGGAAGAGGAGGACAAAGTAAACTCAATACTCATTAGCGATGCTGCAATCAACCCTCTCCATAAGTCCCAGCAAAGTTTTGGGTATTGGAGGGAGTGCCGCAGTGAAGGACAAACGTCTGATAATCCTCATTTGTGCCAGAACTCTCTTCCTGGGACTCCGACGCTGCGAATCAACGTTGCTGCGACGTCCTGACAATCTGAAATCGTAACAGAACGCAGATTTTGGCACGTCTACCCAATTAATCAACGTGACCGCTACGTCCTGACAACCCAAAGTCGTGCCGCCAGACACCATGCGTAGGACTTCAGCCATACGAATACTTGAAGCTGTTGCGACCTATTGAAATGAATGTGCGCGGCTCTAGAAAGATATAATAATTGCAAAGCAGCCAACATATTTACAACGAATGTGCGCGGCACTATGACGAGAACCACGTTTTGAACACAACCCCTTTCCATCCTTGAAACGGCCGCGACCTATGGCGGGAACGATAGTTTGAAAACCAGCCACCCTTCATCCTTGAAGCTGCAAAGCGAATGTGCGCGACGCTAAAGCGAGAGACACATGTTGAAAACCACCCGCCCTCCATCCTTGTCTACTGCAATGTTCAAACATCACGACCTTGAGTTGTGAAGACTTCTCAAGCAAAACGTCTGGCCCGCCCAACCTGCACGTCTGGGGATGGGACAGGAAGGAAGTATCATAAAGACAAGGAAAGGAGGAGGAGGAGGAGGAGGAGGAGGAGGAGGAGGAGGAGGAGGAGGAGGAGGAGGAGGAGGAGTAGGAGGAGGAGGAGGAGGAGAAGGAGGACGGGGAGGAGGAGGAGGAGGAGGAGGAGGAGGAAGAGGAGGTGGTGAAGCAGGAGGAGGAGGAGGTGGGAGAGGAAGAGGAGGAGGAATAGGAGGTGGATGAAGAGGAGGAGGAGAAGGAGGAGGTGGAGGAGGAAAGGGAACAAAAAGGAGGAGGAGGAGGAGGAGGAGGAGGAGGAGGAGGAGGACGAGAGGCGGAGGAAGACCGTCAAGGCTCGCTCACTTCGTGGCGCCATTGCCCACCCCGCCCCCCTCTCGCGACAACCAGCGGGGGGCCGAAATGCCGGGCTGGCGGCCGCCTCCGTCTCGCCGCGGTCTCCGCCGCCCGGCGCCACGCGGCGCCTCTCGGGCCGCGGGCGTGGGGCGCACGCGAAGGAACTTTGTTTTTGTTGTCCCCCCCCATCTCCACGGATATGCTTTCACTTAGAACAAGTGAAACCAGGGGCGAGGCGAACGGGGGAGCGAAGGGAGGAAATTGGATGGGGGTCCCCCCATCCCCCCCCATCTATAGGAAGGAGCAGGGGGAAATTAACTGAGAAGTCGTTGCTCCTCTTTCTGCTCCTCCGTTTCCTCTTCCTCCTCGTCGTTGTCTTCCTCCTCCTCCTCCTCTTCCTCCTCCTCCTCCTCCCCCTACTCGTCCGCCGCCTCCTTTTCTTATTCCTCCTCTTCCTCTTCCTTCTCTTCTCTTCCTCCTCCTCCCATAATAATTCTCATTCCAACCCCATGCGGGACGCGGGGCCCTGAAGAAACGAACGGGTCTTCCAATTGTCTCGCCGTCATCGGGGGCCACTCGGGCACTCCACGGGCCCCCGGGACCAACAAAAAAACGGCTTTGAATGAGGAGCTGCTCCACGTGAGAACCACCGGGTCTAGGATTCGTTTTCCCTCGAATGGGGGGGGGCGACCGAACGAACGAGCGAACCAAGCGGTGGTCCAAGCACATGAGGCGAAACGCGTTGCGCGCGCGCGCGCCCGCTCGAGCAATGCGCACGATGCCACGACGTTCCAAACGCGGCAATACTCCGGCCTTCGCGAAAACCGCTGCCCCAAGGGGGGGGGATAGGGCCATGAAGGAGGATGGGGAGGAGAAAGAGGAGGAGGAAGAGGAGGAGGAGGATGAGGACGGGGAAGAGGAAGGGGAACTAGAAATGCGGAGTTTGGAAACTGCACGGGAGAAAGCATGGCGGCAATACGATGTATATTGCGGCGCTCTTATTCATCATGCAATAAAGAAGATATGCGTCGACGCGCGGGCCACGCAGCCAGGACCTTTTTTATTTGAGTCGGGATCGCGCGGGCGATCGAACAACTCTGGTGGAGAAGAAAAACCAAAAGAAAACGGGAACCGTAACTGTCCAACCACAGCGCGCATTCTAGATTCGGCAGGGAGCACTGTCGCAATCCGACCACGGGCGCGCGCGCGGGTGCGAGAGCTCATCCACTGTACTGGTGAACTCGCTCGTGCTCTTAACTCGCTCGTGCTCTTAAGAGCGGCACGGGAGCTCACGCGTGTGAGTGGTGATGGTGTGCGTTATGCCGCAGTGTGTGATGCTGGCGACCTCGGGCCGCAGACATGGCGTCTGAAAGCCTGTCCTGGAACTTCGGCAAGATGATGGCCCTGGGGTCGCGTGACTGGCGAGTTGGAAGTGTAATGCCTTGACCTGGCAGGTGGGAGAGAAGGTGATGGATGGAGATAGACCTTGAAAAACACGCAAACTAATTTGGCACGATCGACTCACGATCCGTCGGACACGCTCCGATCACGACCACCGTAGGTGACCTCCTCGCTGGGCGTGCCGGGTTCGGCACTGCCCCTGGGCGAGGGCGGCGGCTGCAGTGGCTCGTCGGCGCTAGCCGCGCGGAGGGCCGCGCCGGCGCGCCGACGCTCGACTTTCTCCCCAGCTCTGCGGGTCTTCTGCTTCATCTTGGGGAGGTCATCGGCGTCGTCCGGCGTGGGCCCATCCTTGTCTTTGCCCTTGCCATGGCCGGCTATCGCCGCAGCGTGCCCTTGGGGGCCGATAGGCGTCATGGTCCCCGTCCTGGTCCAGAACTGATCGACCAACCTGAGTCATGGTAGCGATGGGGTTCCGAATTAAAGAAACGCCCCCCCAGATTTAGAACATCCGGTTGTGAATATCACAAGCCAGTTATTGAGATTGCTAAATGTTGTTATGTATTGTTTTGATTAGGTGGCATGATCCACCAGATCCTTTTCTCGCTTCCATTATGTTTTCGAAAGAAGAACCTTATATTATGCGCACCAATCAATTGCCATGACCTGTGTTGGCCAGTGAGAAACGGGCGTGGAAACGACGGGCGCTGCGTCGGTCTCCAGCTCGAGCCGCGGGCCGTGCTGGCCTCGTCGTAGACGGCCTGACCAGGTGGCGACGGAGGAGGGCCCTCCGGCGAGCGGGGAGGGCGACGAGGCGGCGTGCGCGGCACGCGATCGCCCGAAGGTGAAGGGGGGCTCCCTGCGCGCGGCGACGGCCCCGCCTGCCGCATACGGCCAGGCGCTCGGCCAACAGATCCTGACCGAATCCGGGCCAGGACCCCGCGTTCATCAGCGTCCAGTAACGTCTGCGCTCGTCTCGCTGCTGGGGGCTCCACGAACTCCAGTGGCGGCGGGGTTTCGTCGTGAACGTCGCGAGTGTGATGCTCAACGCGACGTTCGCATATGTGGGCCTCGGATCATGTGTCCAGCCGTGGATTCTCCGCGCTTCGAAAGAAAATGCTGCGCGGGGCCCAAGACCCAACGCGTCGACGCTGAACAAGGTGCGACGCAGTATCCGCTGCACCCGAATGATGCCAGCGCGAAGTCACAATCTCCTCGTCGGACTTCGTCAACGGCTGGGCGTCCTCCGAGAATGCCGTGGCCGGCGCCTCTGGAGAAGGTGGCGCGCTTGGCGGGGTCGGCGTCGTCGCGGGTGCCTTACTGAGGCGGGTCGGCAGCGGCTGCGAGTGAGACACGGCTGCCGCACGGCGTCTGCGCGGAGATGACGGGCGCGACCGGGAACGGGAGAGCCCTTGGGTCTGAGCGCGGCCTTGTGGAACAGGTGACGTTAGTGCCGAACGCCTTGCCTTTTTGTAGTGCGGCGCCAGGCGATCCACTTCGCGGCCGTGGGTCTTGCGTGGCGGCGGCGTCGTCGTCGTCGGAGGCGCGCCAGGTGGGCGGGCCCCGATGGGCCGCCGACTCTTGCCCGGGTGTCTGGAGGAGGCGTCGGTGACCGAGCCCCTGGCAAGGCTCGGCCTGCAGTCGATGCGCGGGCCACGCCTTCTGACGACGCTGCGTCCTCCGTGGAAGACGAGGAAGACGAGGCTGCGGAAAACCTGGGGGCTTCGGCGGCTTGCTCTCAGGCGTGGTGGCGCGCGCGGGCGGGGGCAGGCGGCCGCCAGCGCGCGGCGGCGCGCGTCGAGAGCCCGCGCGCGGGCCCCGCGGCGCGCGAGCTACGGGTGGCGCGCAAACCTGCTGATGGAAAATGACAGCGGTAACGTGAATGCTTCCCCCGGGCCCTTCCTACTGTTTCCGCGCCCGCTGTGTCCGTGCATGCGCTCGCCCACGCGCCTGTCGCAGCGGGCGCGCCCCCCTGGACTGCCGTGCTTCTACATTCCTCCCAACTATCATGTGCCAGGTGACAGACTTTCCGAAACAGATGAGGATGGGAAGGGCGAGTGGTTCCGAGGAGGATGGGGCACGCGCAGCCCCCATGCGCATGAGAATATAAGTTAGTTGTCGGAGGTCGGCTGGCGCTCGTGCCCTGGCGGCGCAGTGGGCTTGCCGGCCGACGCGAAGGTGGCTGTGCGCGGTGTAGATGGCCGCTGACGAAAGCTGCCGGCCACGTCTGTACGTCATCGGCCCTTGGTTAGTCCGTTTCGAAATCGGCCTTTGTGGATTTGCTCTCCAATACTCTTTTCGGCCTCAAAAATGCCCGCATGGTCTCCAAGACCGCTCCCAAGCTCCGCAAGATAGCACCAGGATGGCACCAAATGGTCCAACACCACTAAAGAGGCAAACAAAACGGCCTCAAAATTGCCCAAGAAGCCTCCAAGACGGCCCAAGAGGGCTCCAAGAGGCCCTCCAGGAAAGCCCGACGCACACACCAATTAGCTTCCTTATGTGCTCGCAGTTGAAGTTCTCGCCTGTTCGGGTTTGTGGGCGCCCAAGGTGGCCCAATATGCCTCCAAGGTAGCTCCAAGAACCCCTAGGGGTCCCCATGAGGACTCCGAATCGGCCCAAGAGGCCCCCAAGACGCCCCTAAAAGCTCTCAAGACTGCGAAGAGGCCCCCAAGACGTCACAAGAGGCCCCCAAGACGCCCACAGAGTGTTCCAAGAGGCGCCCAGGAATCGCCAGGAGGCCCCCAAGACGTCCGAAGAGGCCCACAAGAGACCCCGCGAAACACCCCAAGAGACTCTGAGAGACATACAAGAAGCCTCTTGCTCACGGAGGCTCCCCGAGCTCTCCAAATGATGCCATGCCACGTTCTTGGATAGGCTGGTGGGGATACGCGAAGCGTTATTTCAAACTGTTGTCTGTCACTCTGTTGCACACGGTGGCGGGGTTTGCCGCAGGCAGCTGGAAATCCAGAATCCCAGACCTGCCCAACTCCATCATATTCACGTCGAAATTCCAGACTATCCGGATTTCTCTGGATGCGCTCCACTAATGTGCAAGGATGCTGATATTACTGTACTGTGCGACCGACCATGATCATGGTGATAGGAATAGCGGTGCTGATGGTAATGATGATGATACTGATGCTGATGCTGATACTGATACTGATGCTGATGCTGATGATGCGGATGCTGATGCTGATGCTGATGCTGATGCTGATGCTGATGCTGATGATGATGATGATGATGATGATGATGATGATGATGATGATGATGATGATGATGATGATGATGATGATGATGACGGCGACGACGACGACGACGACGATGGGAATTGCAAGGAGGGACAAGGGGCGGTACAGGAGGGGAAGGACCAATTGAAGAGGAGGAGGAATGATTCTACGGACAGCGTGGGCCTACGGACAAGACGAGGTTGAAGGAGTATGCGGAGGCGGACGGGAGAAGAGTGAGGAGCAAACAAAATGATTAGGAGGAGGAGGAAGAGGAGGAGGATGGAGAGCACTACACCCACAGCCGAGATGAGACAGAGACGCCTTGGCAGTCGCGCAGCCCCCCGAAGCGCGGAGGAAGTGTCGACTTCACCAGCGCACCCAGAGGGGGCCCTAGCGTCATGGCCGTCAGCTCGAAGACGCCGCGGAGGCGTTGCTCGGAGACCGCTCCTCGCAGCGCTCCTCCGCCTCCTCCGCGGGCGCGCGGCCTCTTCCGAAAGGATTGATCGCGCCCAGCACGCCGAGCGCAGCACCGCGGTATATCTGGCCGTCCCGGAGGCTGTTGGCGACCGTCTCTCTCAGCACCTGCAGGAAACTGTCATCCTTTAAAGCTTCCACGATCGCGACCTTTGCTATGTCCACCAGCGCACCGCGGATCTCGCCGTCCCGCGCGGCTCGCAAGCCCGCGTCCGTGAGCGCCGTGGTGACGTCCGCGACGAAACTCTCGTCCTTGACCGCGTCAGTGATGGCGATCTTGGCCACGCCGAGCACCGAATCGCGCAGGTGGCGATTTTGAGCCGCCGAGACGGTTGCGTCGGTCATCGTGGCCAGCATCTGCGACATGAACTCCTCGTCCCTCAGCGCCGTGGTGATGATGCTCAGCAGAGCTCCGCGCAAGCCCTTGTCCCTGGAGGCTGCCACCATGGATCCAGTGAGCGTCCCCACGATCTCGTCGTGCAGCTGCTCGAAGCGCATGCCCTCCACCACCGCGCACTTAAGCGCTGCCTTGAGCTCCTGGTGCGCCGTTGCTTGCCGGATCACGCTCCCAGCTGCTCCGAGCAGGGCGTCAGCGTAAGGATCGGAGGAGATCTGCACTGCGATGCCCACGATGGCGCGGGCGACAATCTGACAGGCACCCTGCTGCACCCTGCGCCAGGCCTTAGCACAGGCTCCAGAATTCCAGGCAGCCCCCACAAAAAGCGAGGTAGACGACGCCAGCAAAAGCACGACTGCGAGCCATCTCTGCAGTCTGCGCCATGCGAGGATCCCAGCACCGCCGAGCAACACAGAGGACGTCGAGCAACAAACCAACACGCGATCGGGAGGCATCCAGCAAGGACCCGCTCGGGGAAGTGGTGCTCATGCTGGTTGCCAAACTGCTGCAATTTGATTGGACACCCGAACCATAAACTCGAGCCAAAATGATAACGGAAGGCTAGGACACTGTTCAGTAAAACAAATATGTTAAGGGCCGATGACACCGATGACGAATGATGAGCATGATCAAGGGACGGGGAGGGAGACGGAGGAGGAGGCATGGAGCAAGGGGAGGAGAGAAGTAGGAATAACACAACTTCACAGCTCTCGCAATGACAAGCAAACCTTGCACTGTCCATGATGCTTTCCAGGAGCATCGCGGGCTTGAGTTCTACCGAATGTCGAGCCTGACGCATAGCTCAGAAGGGGAGATCGAATCCAAAACTCTCCGAGGGCAAAGGCTTCGAGCACAACGGGCTCCTTGCTGAAGCGATGAGGTCTAGTGCACCACCGCGATTGTAACAAAACACATCAACATCTATGATGAAAACATCTTCTGCCACCCTGCCGGTCACTGAAAAGATGCGCCGCTGGCGGGGCTCACCAGAACCTGATCGGACAAACGTGGGAAGCGCCGACTTTATCCGTTGGGCTCGTACTAAGCGGGACGCCCCCTCAAAAAATAAGATGAATATCGTGAGCCGTCAAGTCTTTTGGGGGCCCTTTGGGAGCATTTTGGGAACCTCTTGAAAGCTTTTGTGACCCTCTTGAACTGTCCAAGCGCGTCCCAGGGGTCTGTTGGGGCTCTCTTGGTGTCCTGTTCTTGGGGCTCTTTTGGGCAGTCCCGGGGCCTCTTCGGGCGCTCTTGCCGCCTCTGGGCGTCTCTTGGGGGCCTCTTGGGGGTCTCTTGATGCGCTTTGGGGGTCCCCTCGGGGGCCTTCGGGGACTCTCTGGGACTGTTTTGACGCTCTCTGGGAACGACTCCGAGATAATGCTGATTCGGAGCCCCCTCCGGAGCCGTTTTTCTTGGGGATGTCCCTCGCGAAACTGCCATTTTTCAGAAAGCTGATCGGATGAGAATGGGAAACGCCGATTTTGTCCGTTTGGGCTGAACGGGCGGAAAACAGAGAATGCGGGGCGCTGTCTCTTCAAAACGAAGAGCCGACACCACAAGATGGTTGGGAAACTTCTACTGGCGAAAGACCCAACCATATGCAATTGTGAATACGGTGTCGTGGCACCGGTTTCGGTGGAACTTCCTTTGGGGCCACGAATCGTGTGAAGGGTGCGCCAAAATGGGGCGGCACCGTCATGCGCACTCAGCCACTGGGGTCTTCGATGGAATTCCCTATGGGGCCACGGGCCGTGTGACGGGTGCGCGAAAAAGAGGCGGCGCCGCCATGTGGACCCTGTTACTGGGGCCTTCGGCTGAGATCCCCATGGGACAAAGGACCGTGTTAACGGTGCACCAAAATAGGGCGGCGTCGCCATGTGGACCCTGCCACTGGGGCCTTCGGCGGAGCTCCCTATGGGGCCACGAACCGTGCGACAAGTTCGCCAATATGGGGCGGCGCCGCCATGTGGACCCTGCGACTGAAGCCTTCGGTGGAACTCCCATGGGGCTACGGACCGTGTGAAGGGGTGCGCCAACATGGTGCGGCGCCGCCATGTGGACCCTGCCGCTAGGAGATTAAGGGGCTTTCGGTGGAGCTCCCTATGGGGCTACGAACGTGTGAAAAGGCGCGCCAAAATGGGACGGCGCCGCCATGTGGACCCTGCGGCTGGGGCCTTTGGTGGAGCTACCTATGAGGCCACGAACCGTGTGAGGGGTGCGCCTGGAGCGGCGCCGCCATGTGGACCCTGCGGCTGGGGCATGAAGGTCCTTCTGGGGCCACGAAGCGCTGCAAAGGGTGTGACAGTACACACACATGTGGAGGGCAGGGGCAGGGATGATGTTGATGATGGTGATGGTGATGGTGATGATGATGATGATGATGCTGATGATGGGAAGGAGGCGGAGGGGGCAGCGGGAGGAGGAGGAGGAGGAGAACGCAGGGCGCTCTCTCTTCAAAACGAGAACCCCAAACCGCAGGATGGTTGGGAAATATATGGATCAACACTTCCGAGACTCAAATTGCCGAGACAGGCAACCAATGCCGCCAAGCTGGCCTAATCTGTCGCCAAGACGGTACAACATGGCCCCAAGGCGGCCCAAAATGGCCTGAAGACGGCCCAAGAGAGGCCCAAGAGGCCCCCAAGACAGCAGAGGAAGCGCAATATGGCCCGAAGGAAGCAATACGTTTGTTTCTATCCAATTTCCCAAAACAAATTTAGGCGTCTTCACTTTTCGAGCTTGTTGCAGCTCCGGACAGCTCAAGGGGCCTCGAGGATGGCAACACGATGGATCAAGAAAACCCGCCAAATCCCTCAAGACGGCCTCAAGACAGCGACGGAGGGCCCCTATAGATGGCCCAAGACCGCCCGAAGAGCCACAAACTGGCCCAAGAGGGCATCCGTAGCGACCCAAGATGGCCTCAGAGGGCCCCTCGACGGCCCAAGCTGGTCCCAAGAAAACGGCCAAGAGAGCCCCAAGACTGACCGAGGAAAGGCCTCAGAGGGCACAAGACGGCCCCACGACGGCGCCAGAAGACCTTCCAGACGGCCAAAGAAGGCCCCAAGAAGGCCCAATGCCGCACAGGAACCCAGGACCGCCCCGAGACGGCCCGCATGAGTACCATGAGAGATCCTCAAGACGTGAAAAACGAAACGATCACATGTGACGATGTTTCTCTTCCTCTTCCACCTCCTCCTCACAAAGATATTGGTGTTCCACATCACACTTGCCAACTACGATGATAATATGAGTCCCGTTCCTGTTCCTCCTCCTCCTCTTCCTCCTCCTCCCCCCCATCCTCATCATCAACATCAATATCATCATTACCACCATCATCAACATCAACATCAACAACGCCATCAACATCATCAACCTCATGATCACTATCACCATCATTGTCACCACCACCTCCATCACCATCGCCATCGCCATCATCACTATCACCATCACAATCGCCACCATCATCCTCATCCGAATCCTCATCCTCATCCCCATTGCCATGCCCATGCCCATGCCCATGCCCATGCCCATCATCATCATCATCATCATCATCATCATCATCATCATCATCATCATCATCATCATCATCATCATCATCATCATCATCATCATCATTTTCATCATCATCATCATCAGCATCATCATCTCCTGCTACACCCCAGGCCACCCTGAACATTTCTGTGTGGCGGGCGTCCCGGGCGATTCCACCGAAGGCGCAGCAGCAGGCGAACGAGACACACGGAGGAGAGAGAGAGAGAGAGAGAGAGACGAAGAGGAGGACCCAATGCACCCACACCCCGAGAGGAGAAGTGGCGACGGCAGGACGGCGCCGATAAAACATAAACATAAATAGGTTGAAGCAAGGCATTCGCAAGAGTACTTAACAGAGACAGGGCAGGCAAGGGAAACCAAACGCTTGAAACCTTGAAAACCAAATCCCACCAGCCCTTTGGGCGTGAGTGGTTTAGAGAGCTCTCTCTGTTCTCAACCCCCCTTCTTCCCCTTCGGGGAGGGGTTTACCCCTCCCCCTACCCCCTCCCCCTGGGCCTGGACAGGGCGTCCCGCGGGTCGTTGGAGGGGTCTGTTTCGACTCCTGGGAGGGCTAAAATTCGACACCCCTCACGAGGATTCTGGCCCCGACGGGGGGAGGCAGAAAAATGCTCCCCTCTTCTTTGAAGCCAAAATCATTGATTTTACTTCGGTTTTGGCCCCATTTTGGCCTTCTGAGGGGGCAGCGCTAATTAAAGCTCACCTCTTCTTTCAAGCCAAAATCATTGATTTTACTAAGGTTTTGGCCCCATTTTGGCCTTCTGAGGGGGCAGCGCTAATTAAAGCTCACCTCTTCTTTGATCGATTTCCTCCAAGATGGCCCCAAGAAGCGCCCAGGAGGCACCAAGAGGCCCCAAGATGGCCCCAAGAGGCCCCCAGGAGGCCCCCAAGAGGATCCCAAACGGCCCAAAGAGGCCCCCCCGAGGCACCCAAGACGCCGAAAAGCCCATCAGGACGACCCTCTACTCGCCTGGGCGTCGTTTCTGGACGGGCAGGAGGAGGGGCCCGAACGACTCACACCAGGACGAGGGGCCCGAACAACTCACACCACGAGAAGCCCGAACGACTCACACCAGGACGAAGAGCCCGAACGACTCACACCACGAAGAGCCCGAACGACTCACACCAGGAAGAAGGGCCCGAACGACTCACACCAGGACGAGAAACCCCAAACGACTCAAACCACGAGGAGCGCTTTCTCTCCCTCCTCCTCCGCCTCGTCCTTCTCCCGCTCCCACCACAAGGAGGATGTACAAGGAGGCGGGAGGAAGGAGGAACAGGGGAGATATGCGGGGGCAGGCGGAAACACGCCTGAAAAAACACGACTGTCGGCATGCTTCGCTAGAGTTGCTCTTTTGAGATGGGTTGGTGGGGATACGCGAAGCGTGAAGAATTTGCCTTGCCATTAAATCGGAGAAGAAATCACAAAACTTAACCGGGTAACGTTCGGCAAGGCGGGCCCAAAAGATCCCAGAGATGGGGTCAAGGCCAGTGAGGACAATGTGGGGCTTGCCAGAAAAAAAAAAAAAACATAAACCCTTTCTACAACTGCATCGCGGCCTCAGAAGAGCGCCTGGGTGATGTCGGGCCCAGCAGGCAACTCGAGTGAACTTCCTCCAGCGGGCACCGAAAGCACACATGTCGAGGTCGAACGACGCGGCATCGTGGGCCCCCAGCAGGGCCTTCAGGGCGGGCGCGCTCCAAACCCAGGAGCTACCTGGGTTCTCGAGGTAGACGGGGGCGCCCAGGGAGCGGCAAGGCGATCCAAAGAGCGGCAGCGACTCCACCGCGAACCCACCCGCGAACGACCTGACGGACGGCAGGATGGTCGAGATCGAACCACGGTTTCGAGGCGAAGTCCATCGGCAGCGCGGCGACCCCACGGCGCCGACAAGCAGCGGACAGGCGACCCGTGCCGGCGAACAGCTCCAGCACAGCAGTCCGAGGGGGGCCCTCGTGACGCTTGAAGCTTGCGTGAATCTTTCTGAGGGGGTGACGATGT